CGATGATCATCGGAGAGTTCGTGATGTACCCAAACACCTTCTTTATGGAGTTTCCCATATTCCTTAGATGTTTACATTATTTTTCATGAAAGACATACAATTTCAGGGCTATTTCACTAGTGTGTTGTCTTGGGTTAGACTCAACAAGCGTCTTCAGAGCATCAATATCAACTCCAACATGTCGGCCCTTGCCATCACAGTTTTTAAGATTAAGGTCACCCGAACGAAATTTGCTGAACATCGTTGACACTAACGAACGTTCCAAACATTTCCATAAACTTCTTTAATCTGCTTGACATAGATACGATAAATGTTCCTGTGTCCTTGACATAGATACGATATTATAGATGTTATTAAAATCCCATGTAATTAATGACAACAGAAACATAATAATTACACCACTCTCTACCAGTTCATTGAAATTATTTAGTATTTTAAAAAGTCGCTGTTGAGGAGAGCTCAAACTCTATTGTATATAAAGTAATGGACTAAAATAACATTCCGCTACAACCAGGATTCAACAAAAAACAATTTATTAAACTGTAAGAACACTTGGAATAAAGTCTAGCACTTTTCAAAAACACAGTTAATAAATACTCGATCTTGGTATTAATGAACAATAAAACATAAGTATCAATGTTAATCAGATAATCAATAAGAAAACAAAACCAGAAAAAAAACTAATCCCCTCCCCCGAAAAAACAACAACAAAAACGCTATTCCAAAATCACCTTTCTAAATCAATAACAACATCGAATAATAATTCACTAATTATACCGTTCATTGTCTCGTGACCCCCCTGTATTAGCGTGGTACTTTCTACTAAATATTTCCTTGGCGAGTTGAATATTATCTAATATCGTTTGGTACAAATTATTCAATTAAAACAAATATGCTACAAAACAAAGATAATTTTTAAGAATCTCGTTTAACTATGATTTGTGATTATCTGTATTTTGACACTAACTTTGTATAAGTGAAGCTACTTGCATAAAGTTTTCTTCTTTTTTTTTTTGTACCAGGGCGGGAAGTACCTTTTCTTCGAGCACGTGATCTTCCCTAAATACAGTTGGAGTAGGATGGTCCAGGAGAAGTTTGAACCCGTCTGGACGGTGTTTTTTGCCGGATGTAAAATTACACGCTCACCAGTTTCTTTCATAGAGGGCGCTGGTTTTTCACACGTTACCCATGAGACTTCTTATCCCTCATTTGTACCCATCTTCTGTAGACCTCATTTTGTTGGAATCGCCACGAAATAGCTGTTATACAATGTAAGAGAGTAACTTGGCTTGCTTCCATTTTCCTCACCATCAGATTTTCTTTTAAAAGAGGGAGTGTAACATGAAGAGACGCCATTTGGTGTATACTTTCTGACTTTGCTAGCTTAATCAGTCTAATTCTTAAAAATCTCCTGAGAAAAAACGTATCTGACTCTTTATCAATATCTTCATTAATGAAGCATCATACCCGCTAAAGAAAGATGTTGCAGGAATGAAAACGCGACTGTTTAAATTTATGTTTTCATTCCCGCAACAGCCTTTTATAGTGATGTATTAAACCTACGTTTTCATTCCTACAACAACCTCCTTTAGCGACTGTTTAAAACAACGTTTTCATTCCTACAAAAACTTTCTTTAATAACAGTTTAAATCCACGTTTTCATTCTGCAACAGCATTCTTTGGCGATGCATTAATCTTACGTTTTCATTACTGCAACAGCCTTTTTTAGTGACGCAAGGAATGAAAACGTGGGTTTAAAACAACAACCTCCTTTAGCGACACACTAAACCTGTGTTTTCAATAATAAAACAATTCAGTTAAAAAATAAATAAAAAGTTCAACAAATAACTGAAAACAAGTAATCCACAGAAAAGTGACTTTGAGTTTCCTTAGTTCAAAGATACACATAATGGAAATGTACGTTGAGCCCGCCGCGGGATCGAACCTGAATTTTAACTTTTAAAGCACTGAAGCTTACAACTGAAACAGTGGAAGATACGTAGCTTAATAGATAACATCGACAATGTTTTAAATGTAGAAAAACAACAAACCCTTTAAAGTTTAAAACAAACATACGAAAACAATCTTCATGTATATGCTTGTGTGGGGGATTTCAAATATTATTACTGCTCGTACGTATATCGTTTTACTTGTGTTTTGTTGCTGTTTTTATTGTACAAGGTTTAATATATAACATTATAACGATGTCCACACAATTTCTATATATATATATTTGTGTGATTTAAAATAATAAAACATTTGTATACATTGTAAAAGTGGATTTTTTGTAAAGCTCAGTCCTTTTATCTCCGACTAACTTTGTATACACATTTGTATTTGTGGATTATCAAATCAGATGATAACTAATTGGAATAATTCAGCACTCTCTGTATCACTGATTGGGTTTAATAGGAGATAAGCGAAATATAACGACTGAATTCTTCGAGTTACACGTTAACAATATATTACATTGAAGTTACTCTACTAAAAATGTTTTTTACATTAGTCTGTTTTATTGAGGCTCAAATAACATGCTGTAGTAATATGAGAAAAGAATAATCTTAGACCTAAATGCAAGATTTAGGTCGGCTACAGACCCGCTAAAAACGCCGTGACTCCAAAAAATGCTTTGTTTCACGGAAATGTGTAGGAGGAAATGAAAAGTGATGGGGACGAAGTTACCTGAAATCCGCTACCGATAATCAAAGGACCTGAGTTAGTTTTCGAAGCTGTTGCATGACACGCCACCAGAGGACGACACAAGTGTCTCTACCCCGGATATAGGAAAGGGATGACGTCAAAGTGCTATGCATCAGAGGGCAATGAGGTCATAGTTCCACAGAGGGCGCGTCGCTAGGGCGCCATGACAGGCGTTTGGAAACACACCAAAATAAGTTGTACGAAGATAACAAATAGGAAACACACCAAAATAAGTTGTACGGAGTTAATAAATAAGAAACACACCAAAATAAGTTGTACGGAGACAATATATAGGAAACACACCAAAGTAAGTTGTACGAAGATAATAAACAGGAAACACAACCAAAATAAGTTGTACGGAGATAATAAATTGGAAACACACCAAAATAAGTTTTACGGAGATAACAAGTAGGAAACACACCAAAATAAGTTGTACAGAGATAATAAATAGGAAACACACCAAAATAAGTTGTACGGAGATAATAAATAGGAAACACACTAAAATAAGTTGTACGGAGATAATAAGTAGGAAACACACCAAAATAAGTTGTACGAAGATAATAAATAGGAAACACACCAAAATAAGTTGTACGAGAATAATAAACAGGAAACACAACCAAAATAAGTTGTACGGAGATAATAAATAGGAAACACACCAGAATCAGTTGTACAATGATAATAAGTAGGAAATACACCAAAATAAGTTGTACAAAGATAACAACTAGGAAACACACCAAAATAAGTTGTACAAAGATAATAAACAGGAAACACACCAAAATAAGTTGTACGAGGATAATAAACAGGAAACACAACCAAAATAAGATAATAAATTGGAAACACACCAAAATAAGTTGTACGAAGATAACAAATAGGAAACACACCAAAATAAGTTGTACGAGGATAATAAACAGGAAACAAACCCAAAATAAGTTGTACGGATATAATAAATTCGAAACACACCAAAATAAGTTGTACAAAGATAACAAATAGGAAACACACCAAAATAAGTTGTACGGAGATAACAAATAAGAAACACATCAAAATAAGTTGTATGAGGATAATAAACAGGAAACACAACCAAAATAAGTTGTACGGAGATAATAAATTTGAAACACACCAAAATAAGTTGTACGAAGATAACAAATATGAAACACACAAAAATAAGTTGTACGAAGATAACAAATAGGAAACACACCAAAATAAGTTGTACGAAGATAATAAACAGGAAACATACCAAAAGGGCAGCTTTCAGAGAAGTTTGAGGGACTTTGCTGGCACTGTAACAATCTTGGGCACAAGAAAGCTCAATGCTGGAAACTTCAACACAGGGAAGATGCCATGAGGAGAAAGGCTGCTAACCAGAAAGGTTGTTGGAACTGTGGAGAACAAGGACATATGAGGAGTCAGTGTAAGAAGAATATTACCAATAAGTCAGCCTCGGGGAAACCAGTAGTGGTTGGTGTTGAGGTACGCCCACCAACCCCATCGTGAAAGTCTCAACAGCTAGGTGTAAAATGCCAAGTACACATAGTGCCTACGTCACAGGAAAGTTGGATGGCCGAAGGTGCGACTTTGTCATAGATTCTGCATCTTAGCAAACCCTTGTGAGTATCAAGTTGCTGTACATGTTATGCTAAAAGAGGACCCAGCATAAGGGACGTGCTCCAATGAAGTTATATCAAGTTGGCGCACCAATGGAAAGAGTAGCCATTGACATTGCTGGTCCTTTGCCTCAAACTCGTGCTGGAAACAAGTACATTTGTGTGGTGATGAATTATTTCACCAAGTGGCCTGAGGCATATGCAATACCAAATCAGGAAGCTACAAAAGTAGCTTTGGCTATTAGTGATTTCTTCTTCAGATTTGGTATGCCATATGAACTGCATTCAGATCAAGGCCGTAACTTCGAATCAGCTGTGTTTTAAGAATGCTGCAAGTTGTTTGACATACGAAAGACCAGGACAACGCCACTTCACCCACAGTCTGATGGGATGGTAGAAAAGTACAACTGGACACTGGGACAGGAATTGGCAAAGTTTTGTAATAGCCGCCAAGATGACTGGGATGTCTTACTCTCTCCACTGTTGATTGCGTATAGGACAGCAGAGTATGAGGCCACTGGATATACTCTAGCAAAGTTAATGTTTGGTCTGGAATTTCGGTTGCCAGTGGATCTGTTAACAGGACGCCCACCTTATGAAGAGTTGCCTGAGAATGTGTCAGAGTTTGTGAAAGTGTTATCTGAAAGGATGGATGATATTCACCATCAAGTGCGTTCGAACTTGAAGACGTCTGCTGATTCGATGAAGTTAACTTATGATAAGAGATCTACTGAAGTCAGCTTTGTACCTGGAGACAAGGTGTGGTTGTATAATCCCAGGAAGACAAAAGGGAAGTCT